AGTTCTGTTTGAGTCTTTTGTAAAGTGTGTAATTCCTCTTTTAGATCTTGCAAGAATTTCCTCATCTCCTGGAACTCATCAACTTCTTTCTCCTTTCTCTTTAGCAGTTCATTATCTCTCTTCTCTCGCTCTTCTCTTCCATCTCTGTTAGCTTCGACATTATGAATGCTCTAAATTCCTTATCAGACATTTCTATGATTTTCACCGAACTGCTTGTGGATGAAGAACAGTTACTTTTTTCCCTTGGAGGAGAGGTATTTTCTTGTTTTCCCATATTTCTTGTGATCCGGCAGTGATTTCTTGTCATCTGCTTCTTTCAAATTCTTGAAGTTCAGCCTGAATGTTCAGGAGCAAGCAGACAGAGGTCATCTAGAATCTCTTTGCCATGCTGTTGTGCTCACTGGTAGATATTGAGGAATATTTTAACCCTATTAGTATTTGGATGTTTAGCTACAATGCTCTTAGACCGTCTGGGAGGCTCAAGCTGGGAAGTTCTTCTAATGTCCATGAATCTCCTCCTTGCTCTAACTTGAAGATCACTGCAGGTTTGGCAATGCACTGTCCTCCATGGACACCATGTCCAGCAGAGCACGGTCAGCACAGCGGCAAGTTCTCCCCAGTGACCACACAGAAGGAACTGCTGCCTATATTACTTTGAAATTAGCATTTAAAGGAGATGGACCAGCTGTGGCTTGGTGGTTAAGGCAGTTAGATCCAACATGGCCGACCCTACAGTTTGAGTCTCAGAACGGGTGACTTGAGAAACACACTGAGTGCATGTGTGTGTGTGCCCAAAATCCTGACAGGATGGAGAAATAGAAGAGATGGGAGTATAGCTCTGTGAGGTGTGCTTTCTTGTTTTCTCCATCTCTCTGTCGCTGGTGAGCACATGTGCCTTCTGTCAGATTAAAAGAAAGAAAAAGAAAGAGAAAAAGAAAAAGAAAAGAGAAAAAAAGGAAGAAAGGGAGGAATAAAGGAAGAAAGAGAGAAAGAAAAGGGAAAAAATCCTTTAAAAATGTGCAGGTTATGTCTGACACTTGCTGTGGCATTTATTTACAAATATGAGCCACACCACTGAGATCTCATGCAGATATATTCTGCACAATGACTTTAAGGATCATTACTTAGTCAAACTTACCTATAAGAAGAAAAGTCAATGTAAACACTGTACAGAGGATAATCTTCCATGACTGAGTTAACCTAAAAAGAACAAAAATGATTAAAAAAATTAAAAGTAAGACATCACTCTTAACATTTAACTTGTACTTTAACCACTGCACTCTAGTCAACACACTTGCTTTTAATTTTTGCTTATCCTGGGTTGGGTCTGTGAATTCATTGAATTACTACTCCATTATCTTTCAAATTAAAGAAAAATAGTTGTTTTATTTTATTTTATTATGTTTTAAACTTGAGAGCGAGAGAAGGGAGAGAGAATGAGAGTGAGAAAGAAAGTCGCCAGGCTCAGGACTCGAACTGCGGTCGGTCGTGTGGGAGTCCAGCAACTGAACCACTACACCATCCACTGGCCCCTGGGAAAATAGTTTTTATGACTTTGTATCCTTCATGTACATAATTGTTATATAATTATTTGTGTTATTTATATAAGAAGAAAATAAAGGTGGTTATCTTAAAGGTCTCCAATGTAGAATGAGCTAAAAAAAGAAAGAAAACCCAAGCTCTAATTAGGTATTAATAGCTATCTGATAAAATTCTTTTAAGTCATTCTAACCTTTTCACAATAGCATTTTGTATCAAAGAGGAGCATATATACAAAAAAAGTGCATAAATTATGATCGTATGCCTGTGAACTTTCACAGAATTAACATATGCATGCAACCACACCTAAATCAGAAATAGGGTATCTGGGCCAGTCCATGGTGTGGTGGTTAAGAAAACTGGATTCCACACAGCTGACTGTGTGGTTTGAATCAGCCAGAGGCTTAAAAATCATGCTGATTGCTTGAGTGTGGGTGCTCAAAACTTCTGAAAGGTTGGAAAAGTGGAAGAGAAAGGATTTTGCTATGGCCATTCCACATGAGGGTGCTTTCTCACTTTCTGTCTCTGTCTCTCTGTTTCTTTAGTGAGCACATGAGTTCTCTGGAAAACATTCTTTTTTTTTAAAAAAAAAGAATTATTTTATTTAACTTTATTGATTTATTTTAATTTGGCCAGAGAGGGACAGAGTGAGAGAGAGAAAGTGGGAAAGCAAGCCGCCAGGTCCAGGACTTGAACCGTGGTCAGTCATGTGGGAATCCAGTACCCTTAACCACCATGCCACCTGCTAGTCCCAAACATTCTTTTTTTTAAAGAAAGAAATAGAGGACTAGCAGATGGTGTAATGTTACATCCCTGGACTCCCAAGTAATTGACCACAGTTTGAGTCCTGGACCAAGAGTCTTAAAATTCACACTAAGCGCATGTGCGTGTATGCCCAAGATCCCGAGAGGAGACTGGAGACGAAGGAATTGTAGCGTGGCAATGCCCCCGGGGGGGGGGTAATTTCTCATTTTTTGTCTCTCTGTCTCTGTCTCTCCAGCAAGTGCACCCACCCTATAGCCAAAAATCTCTCTATAAAAAGAAGAAAGAGGAAGGAAGGAAGGAGAGAGAAAAAGAAGGAAAGAAAGAAAGAAAAAGAGTTCATCCTTGGTACTTTGTATTGAATTGTGTCTCCCAAAATTCCTCTGTTGAAACCCTACCCCCAAAAGTGACTGAATTTGGAAACAGGGTCTTCAGGAGCCAATTTAGGTTGAATCAGGTCCTAAGAGTGAAGCCCTAATCTGATAGTATTGGTGTCTTTATAAGACGAAGAAGAAAGACCTGAACTTTCTTTCTCTCTGCACAGAGCAGAAAGGCCCTCAATGAGAAGGAGGCTGCCTTGAAGCCAAGAATAGAGTCCTTCCTAGTAACTGGAATCAGCTGGAACCTTGATCATGGATTTCTCAGCCTTCAGAACTGACAGAAAATTAATTCTTGTTGTTTAAGCTGCCCATTCTATGGTGTTCTTTATAGTAGCCTGAGGAGGTGAATGTACTCAGCCCATCAGAAGGTTCTCTTGGGCCCACATCAGACTCTGTACTTTCCATCTTTAGAAGTAACTGCTCTCCTGGGCCCTTATCTCCTTCAATAAGATGGCTTGGTTTTGGACCATGTATAAAAGGAACCACATGGGTATGTGTTCTGCTCTCAGCCTTGTATTTTTGGGCATCATCTGTGCTGCCATACATGGTTGTGGTTCATGCAACCTCATGACTTATCACATTCCACTGCATGAACATACCATGAGTATCTGTCCTAACAGGGTAGGCATTTGGTGTTGTGATAAACAATGTGGTCATACACACACTAATTAGCAATGCTGCTAGCAACGTTCTGACATGGCTTTTGATCTATGTATTTCATGTAGGAATGCTCAAGAGAGCAGTTGTTGGCCAAGGGATATGTACATATCCAGTTGCAATAAATTCTGCAGACGTTCTGCAGACAGTTTCATTTTTACAAGACAGTTGTAGTTATAACCTTTTCACACCCAACCTTTTAAATAAAGCCCTAAAACAGAAATAAAATGCTGACTGACAATCTGAATGAGCAAGCTAAAGAGGAAGGCTGTGAGTTCTGGGTGAAGTACTCCAAGTTGGCAGACTAAATCGTTCTACTTAAAGCATAAGGACAATCAAATTAAGATGAATTATTTATTCATTGCAAATGGCAACTTGATGCAGCTGGAGAAGCCAGATCACAGTTTAGGGAGTGGCTGGCAGTGTTCCCAGAATGGCACTTCACTTTAGCGATTGGCCTTCAATTTTCACCTGTTGGTTTTGATCTGTTCTCCATCAACTAGATGGGACAATTCTCTACTCCAGGTCTACAAAGAATGGCCGAGAGGTGACCTTAGGCTGGCCCCACAGCCTAATGGTTAAGGGAGCCAGATTCTATATGTCAACCATGGTTACAGTCCCAACTCTAGTGGCTTGAGAAGCACACTGGGTAAATGTGTGTGTGCTAGAAATCCCAACAGGGTGGAGAAATAGGGGAGAAGAGATCACAATGTGTCCATATCCCATTGGAAGATGCTTCCTCTCTCTCCCTCTCTGTCTATCTTACTTGGTGATCATATATGCACTCTGATAATTAAAATAAATAAATAAATAAATAAAATGTTTTTGTTTTATTTTTAAAATTTGTTATAGGGTGTATGTGGTTGCTGGAGAGAGAAAGAGAAAATGAGAAAGCACTTCCCAGGAGGGATGGCTGCAATCCCTTCTCCTCCATTTTTCTCTCAGGGTTTTGGGCACATGTGCACAGGTGATTCAAGTGTTTTTCAATGTGCCAGGTCCAAGACTTGAACAGTGCAATTGGCTATGTAGGATCCAGCTGCTTTAACCACCATACAACTTGACTGGTCCCAGTAAAATATTTAGGAGAAGAAGAAAAAAAAAAAAAAGAGGTGACCTAAAGTCTGGAAGTGTTGATGAAAATAACCAAGCTCTGCAGAAATAATAATTAACGCCATTTAGTCTAAACACAAGATTGAAAGACACACCACATCGGGAGAAAGAAGTGTTTCTCAAGTTGCTGAGATGCAGTTGTTCCTTTTATCTAGTTCTGAGAGCAAGAGAGTTGTTAATCGGCATAAGGAGTCTTTAACATTGGCCGGGCCAAAAAACTGGGACATCTGCTTCCAAGCTTGAAATTGTAGTGAGTTTGAAATTCTTTGATTAGTAATTGGTTAAAGTAAAACACAAGTCTCTGTTCCTGAAAGAAATCAGCATAAGAATGTCTGTGTTTTACTCTAAGAGATAAGAAGGCTTATTATGCATTTTAAAACACTATGCCTGAAACAGGAACCCACTGTCAGTGGTAGCAACCCACTGTCAGTGGACCAAAGTGTTCTGTGGTCTGTTAAAGATCGTAGGCCTCTATTAATGTTAGTAGATGTGACTCCCTAGGCCCCTTGGAAACAACTGTGGAATAGGGAAAAGTAGGCAGAATTTTGTCCTCAGAAGTGACTTAATTTATATTTAGATATATTTTTAAAAATTCTGCTCGTTCTTGAAAATTATATTCAACCGTCAGTTAACAGTGTTGACAGAAATAACCAATTCTGCAAAAACATAATAATTAACATGGTTTATTTCTAAGCAAGAATTTGAGTGACCTAGGCCTGGAAAGAAGGCAAAACATGCCTTTCTTGAGGTGATTAGGTAAAGTGATCCCTTTTTTTTTTTTTTATTTTGAGAGTGAGAGACAAAGTTTGGAATTTAGTGAAGAGTTTTTTCATTGGTCTGAAATGGGAAGGGCTTGTAGGTTATAGGTAGGTTTTCCAGTTATTAGGTTGATGATTAGAAAAGAAAGGTTGCTAAAATCATAAAGGAATGTACTTTAGTAGAAAAGGAGGCAGGGCCAGCAGGTGGCGTTGTGGATAAAGGTGCTGGATTCCCATGTGGCGGACCACAGTTCAAGTCCTGAATCTGGTGGCTTGCTTTCTTTTTTCCCTTTCTCTCTTTCTCTCTGTATGGTCAAACTTAAAAATAATAACAACAAATGGAATTAAATAAATCATTCTTTTAAAAAATAGATAAGAAGGCTTAATATACATCACAAAGACACTGTGCCTAGGACAGGATGTAGAAGAGTCTTGTTAATGTTAGTGGGCATCACTCTCCCCAGGCCCTTTGGAAAGAATTTGGAAATAGGAAAAACAGGCCTCTGTCCTTCACACATTATAGTACTTACATTATTTTTTTCACATTAGTTGACCAAACAGGATACAAATTGACTCTCTCAATGATCTCCTGAGTCGCAGTGTTGATTGGGCCTTACAAAACCACAGCTCAAACACTTTGGGATGACAAAACAAGCCCTGATTCCCCCAGCATAGAGTCTCTAGTAATTTATCTCCCCCATGTAAATTAATTGTGCTTATTAGCCATACAGTGCAGAGAAACAGTGCTAAAAGCAATGAAGAGAGTTTTCTTAATACTCTTACCTTCAGAAATATGTATTCCTGAAACTACTTCCCTCCTTTAAATACTACTGATCATGTGGGGGTTGGTAGGGGGTCCCCAGTGTAAAGTTGCCCAGAGGTCATTTATGGTTCACAAGAGCCCTTCTGGTGGGTGGGATTCCATGCAAATGATCACATTACCGTATTTACCAAAGATTTATTCTGTTTTTCACTAAATGCTTGGTCTTCAAACTCTGCTGTGTAAAACCTCTTCACCCAGCCTGTGGGATTCTGCTACCTGGGGCAAACATGATTTGTTATTGTGATTTTCAAACTCTGCTCTTCCAGTACTAGCAATGTGGTAGCATTCTTTTTATTTTTATTGACAGTTTTGCTTCTGTGCAAGAGCTTCATTGCTACTACTGGGATGGTTATTTCATTGTTTTCTGGACAGACAGCATTGAGGGAAGTGAATTGGCCTTTGATCTTTGGCCCACCCAAGAAAGCAGGCTTCCCTGCTGTCTTTCAACAGGTAATAGCCACTCATGTTCCACTGGTAGAACAGAAATATTACTCTAAACATGTACACACTGTTAAACTATGTTGGCCTGAGAAGAGCCCTGTACTCATCTACTTGAGCTCTTCTAAACAAACTACAACTTGACTTGGGAATATTTCCTTAAGAAATTGGTGACTACTGCAGTCAACCCCAGATAGCTCGCTCTTTAAACTGTCCATACAGCAAACACGAATCCAACTGCTTCTCTTCCTCATTTCCCTCACTTCTGTTTTCTTACATCACTTTCCTTTTCCTGCCCATAAAAGTTGGGAACCAGCAGTTAGCATAATGGCTATGTCGCTGGACTCCCACGTAGTCGACCGCAGTTCGAGTCCCAGACGCGGTGGCTTAAAACTCACGCTGGGCGCATGTGCGTGCGTGCCCAAGATCCCTAGAGGAGAATGGAGGAGAAGGGATTGCGGCGTGACCATCCCCCCTGGGGGGTGATTTCTCGCTTTCTGTCTCTATGTCTCTCTCTGTCTATCTGGCAAGCGCACGTGCCCTATAGCAAAAAACCTCTCCAAAAAAAAAAAAAAAGTTATTGGATCACTGGGACCAGCAGTTAGCGTAATGGCTATGTCACTTTACTCCCATGTATTCGACTGCAGTTCGAGTCTCGGACCCGGTGGCTTAAACTCACACCAGGTGCGTGTGCGTGCATGCCCAAGATCCCGAGAGAAGAATGAAGGAGAAAGGATTGCGGCGTGGCCATCGCCCCGTGATTTCTTGCTTTCTGTCTTTCTGTCTCTCTCTGTCTTTCTGGCAAGCACACATGCCTTATAGGGAAAACTTCTCCGAAAAAAAAAAAAGTTATTAGATCACAGAGCACCTCGAAGTTCCTCTGAAGCCACTCTAAGTGCTGCCCAATTTGTAGGTCATTTTTTGCTAAAGTAAAGTCTGATAAATCAGATTTACCTGAAGCTTTTTTTTTTTTTTTTTAACACGACTAATAGACCCTTTGCCAATTCTCACCCAAGGATGTAACAAATGCCACTGAGAGCCCAGAGTTCTGGTGCGAACTTCTGCATGCCATTGAGTGATGAAAAAGTGAGTCACCCATGAGTTTCCACATAACTTCTGCTGAGGTTTGCTGTTACAAACAATACAGCTCCTCTTTCACAGTCTGCTGTAATTACTCTATGTCCTGACATAGGAAAAAGACAACATGCCGTAGAAAGTTTTGCAGGCAAGAGAAGCCCTTTGGAAATGGTTTTCCCTGCAAAAGAGGAGAGTGCATGCCAGGTTGTTTCAAGGTCAACAGCACAGCACATACTGACACGTGCAACCCAAGAGCTCTCAGAAAACATCCTGCGACGTTACATACCCACTTCCATCCGGGTTCTCCTGGTCTGGCAGCACCATGTGAATGCTTGCGCTACTGCTGGCTTCCTCAGAGCAGCTTTGGGAAAACTGGGCAGCCCTTCTGGGCTTTATTCTTCCACTCATTTCCCCCCACTGGGTAACAAAGAGCTGGCAGGATAAAGGCTACCATTCATTTTCCTTTTCCTATTTTGAAGAAAACTTGGAGCTAGACATAATGGTATGTCTTAGGACTTGACTTATGTCTTCTCGTTTCATGGGTATTTCCTCTTCAAGGGAAAAACTGAGTGAGCGAATTCTGAACCTAGGCCTCTGTTGCATCATCGCCTGGGACACCTCACAATGGCACATGGGCCCCACACCCATGCCAGGTGCTGGGCAAGCACCCTCCTCTCTGCTCCAGATGCCTGTAGTGCCCTATTTTATACCCATGAAATAATATTATGGTCCCCCTTGTGCCTATTACTTTGCTATAACAAATCGGTATGTTTTGCTGTGTTTGCTTCTGTACTTAAAAAAAAAAGTCAGAAACACAATGGCAGACCCTGAAACATTCCTAAATTCCACTCTTTTCCTTTATTTCTCATAAATAACTACAATATAAACACTAATATACTCGCATTCCCATGTATTTTTAAATATTCTATGACATCAGTATATATCCATGAATAATGTGATGTCATTTCCATGTTTAAAGCTTAAAATAAATCATATGCCACTCTTGATTTGTTTACATTATGTATTTTGAGACATAGCAACCCACCTCCTGCGTTCAAACTGCTCTCTAGAGCTTTCCTATGTACGCATCACAATCCATTTACCCGTTCCCCTATGGATGTGGACTTAGGTTGTTTTCTGATTTTTAATGATACCAACAATGCTCAGTGCATGATCTCATGTACAGACCATGAAGTTCTTCTAGAAATACACCTACAAATAGAATCTCTAGGTGGAATGATGAGCTAGTTTATTTAGGATATAAAATTCTAGGATGATAGTTGTTTTGCTCTATGTACTTGGTGATGCTACTCCAGGGTCTTGTGGAATTGGCTGTTGCTACAGAGAGTTCTGCTTAACCTTTCTCCTTCTTCTTCTCCTTCTTCTTCTTCTTCTGCTTCTTCTTCTTCTTCTTCTTTTTCTTTTTTTTCTTTTCTCCTTCTTCCTCTTCTTATTTTTCAATTTGTCTGTTTTCTCTGGTAGTTCTTAAGACTTTCTGCTTATCCATGATGCTTCCCAGTGAAACTGGAAAACAGTGATGGGTAATAATATCCCAGAGTGCCTGGGAGTGATATTATTTTTATTTTTCCTTTTCTATATTCAGCTTTCCAATTTGGGTACTCACATATTCAACTTTTGATAATATTTCAGCCATGAGTTCTTCAAATGTTACCCCTCTGCCATTGCTTCTGTTTCCTTATAACGGTCTACCCGTTGACATCTGTGCATTTCTTCTTTTTTCCCTATAATTTGCTAGAGAGTGCCTGAGTGTGCCAGAGATATAGAGACAGAGAGAGAGAGAGAGAGAAAGTGAGAAAGCACACCCCCACATGGGGTATGGTCACACTGCAATTCATTATTCCCTCCTTTCAGGATTTTGGGCACATTTCTATATCTATCTATCTATCTATCTATCTATCTATCTATCTATCTATCTATATCTATATCACCATACCACCCCCCAGGTATATCATGAATTAAAAAAAAAAATCTTAAAAGCTACCAGATTTTATATATATATATATGGAGAGAGAGAGAGAGAGATTCACCTATTCATAATATTTAAACTAAATGGTAATTTATTACAATTGAACTGTGCTCTGCATTTTGCTTTTTTCACTTTAATGTATCTTGGAAGTCTTTTGTACTCAGTTTGAATTGCTCTTTCTCATTCTTTCATGCTTGAATAGTGTTTTATTAGGCGAATGTGTCATCATCTGTTCACTATCTTATATTGAAGAACATTTTCATATTGGAAACAGTGGGATGTTAAATCATTTATTTAAATAATTTTGCATATATATGAATGTATTTGCAAAGATATATACTCAGAAGAGGAGTAGCTTGGTCAAAGTTTGAGTGTAGCATGCATTTGTAATTTTAGTAAATATTGCTTTGTCTTCTATAAAGACTCTACAAATTTCAGTTTCTGCTAAAAATATGAGAGCCTATTTTGCTGCTCATTTGCCAACTGTAGGAAAATAGCCTAAGTGATTCATTTTCAAAAATAGATGAACAAAATTTGCTTAAGCAGCTTGCAGATGTGACAACGCCAGAAAGTACACATTCCCAGAAAGTTCCTGAACAAACGAAATCCCAAAACAACAGGTCACTCTTGAGAAATGACTTCTTAAGATGGTGGTTGGTCATCAACCCTTTGCTCCTTTTCACTCCCTGACTCTTCCCTCCTCAGGATGCTTGGCAGGCCTTTTTCATGGGCTTCTCCTGAGCCTACACTTTTCCAGCAGGTAAGAGGGGGAAGGGGACAATAAATGCTTTATAAGGTAATAATGAAACTGAGGTGGCACCTGGGAAGATTGTACACCCCACAGTACTCAGCCAATGAGAAACCAGAGGAAGGACTTAGGCACTAGAGAATAAATTGCTCTTTGTAATCATTTTGGGTGTGCCTGTCCATTAGACACTTGATCTTGCAAGACACCATTAAAGTTTCGCTTTGTCATACCTTGTGTCTTCATGTCCATTCTTTGGCAATGGACAGGTGAGCACATTTCTCAGACCAACTCTGTGTATCTAATCTTTAATTCTTACAATTCAAAGGTTTCAAAAATATCCTATCACAGAGTAGTTTCCTTTTACATTTTGCTGAATAAATTTGAGCTTTTTCTTTCACATGGATAAGACACATGTACAGTGGTTCTATGTTTCTGGCGCCCCTCTTTTTGTTTCATTTGCTTGATTTGTTCTTTTATTAGTGTTTTTCTATTTTTTTTTCTTTTATAGTGCACATGTGTTTGCCAGAGAGAGAAAGAGAAAGCTAAAGTGAGAAATCGCCTCCAGGGGGGAGGCCACACTACAACCCCATCCTCCTCTTGGGATTTTGGGCATACATGCACACATGCCTGGTGTGATTTTCAAGCCTCTGTCTCTGAGACTCTAACTGCACAGTCGGCCATGTGGGATCCAGCCACCTTAACCTCCATGCCACCTGCTGGCCAGGCAATTAATTTTTTTAAAAATTAATATCATTCTTGGGCCAGTCCCACAGTCTACTAGTTAAGGGAAGTGGATCTCACATGGGCAATCATAGTTTGAATCCTGGCCCCAGCAGCTAGAAAAACACAATGGGCGTGTGTACTCATTGTACATTCTGATCGGTGAGAGATAGGACATTCAGTCACAGCCTAATTATAGGAATCTTTATTAGCTGATGACTATGGAAGGACTCAGGTCTCTTGAATACCCTGCAGCCCTGAGATTAGGGAGAAGGGGGCTTATAAAGGCAAAACCCACATCCATGGTGAAAAGCAGTGACAGGAAGAAGAAAAGGGAGGTGAGAAGAGGGAAGAGTGACATTCGTGCAAGCAGTTTTTACAGAAGCCAGATTAGGCATTATTAACCCTATTTATATTCTAGAGGGCAGGGTTGTTCTGGTCTCTGATTAAACACAGTGGGAGTTTAACTATTTCTAATTACCCTTTACTTTTTTTTTAAAAAAATTATTTTTAAAATTTTTATTTATTCATGCATTCATTTTAATTTGACCACAGTGAGACACACACACACACACACACACACACACAGAGAGAGAGAGAGAGAGAGAGAGAGAGAGAGGAAAAGAGAGAAAACAAGCCACCAGGCCTGGGACTTGAACCATGGTCAGCAACTATGCAGGAGTGTCCAATGCCTTAACCACCATGCCACCTGCTGGTCCCCTTACCCTTTACTTTTAATTACCTGGGGGAAAGGCCTATCAGCTGGTAGTGAAAGACTCAAATTGGAGGCACAGATTAAAATGGAGGTATTCATGTTTTATTCCCCATTGGCTAAGAAAATGAGTCAAATTATTGACTTGTCCGTATTCAAAGCTGATATTCTTCTCTCAGCACTGAAAGCTTGACTGAATTCTAAGGATGCAGAGACTTAGTAAAGCCCTAAGAGCAGGTTCCCATTTCCAGACCATCTCCCAGGGTCAGCTGTAGTAGGCTTCTGGTACAGTTGTAGCTGACATTGTTCAGAAGGTGTGCTACCTCAAGTCCTATATATTATGGGGGTTCTAAGTGTAGGCAGAACCAGTGGTCAGCTGCCAGGCCTGACTGTGAGTGATTTTTTTTTTTTGGAGAGGTTTTGCTATAGGGTGTGTGCGCTCGCCAGACAGAGACAGCCAGAGAGACAGAAAGCGAGAAATCACCCCCCACCCCCAGGAGGAATGGCCATGCCGCAATCCCTTCTCCTCCATTCTCCTCTCGGGATCTTGGGCACACATGCACACGCACCCGGCATGAGTTTTAAGCCACCGGGTCCGGGACGCGAACCGCGGTCGATTATGTGGGAATCCAGCAACATAGCCATTACGCTAACAGCTGGTCCGGTGAGTGATTCTTAATCTTATATACAGCAGCTAGGACAGGTAGATGCGAGGCATCAGACGGTAGTATTGCTGTCTGTAGTTTGCATTTTTGGACCTAGTCATTTAAGCTCAGGTGTGCCTGGTCAGACTGGCTTAGGTCATGTGTACAGCTGCTGGGCTCAGTTGCTTACAGGGAGATTGTGACACAGCACTTTCTCTGGCAATGCAAGCCGCTTACAGAAGCAGAATAACATTCGGTTAGGAACTTATAGGAACAACAAAATTTCCTGCAAAACAGAAACCAGGGCTGAAAGTCAAAATCCAAAGCACGGTTAATTGAGGACTTAACAGGGGCAAGAGTTAAGGAGCCCACTGCCAGAGGCTGATCCGATCTTGCCATAAATCAGCAGCAGCCTGGCTTTTTCGGGCTATCTGGTCACTGAGTCCCTTTGATAAGGAGACATTTCACATGGCTAAGGGATTCTCCTGAGCTAAGGGCACCAAACTGCTGTGAGATTCCCCACTCATGACAGGAAAATGCTAGCAGTAGGTTTTTGTACCGTTCCCAATCAGTAGGAGCTGTGACAGCCAGACCTATAGCAAAAACCAAACCAATTACAGCACGGAGGCTTACGATTCAGGGGTTATTACAAATGGTCTGGGAGCACTCGGGGCAGCTCATGAGTGCTTTCGTAGGGAGATATATCCTCAATCTTCTACCGTGCATAGATAGGTCAGCTTCCAGAGTAACCATACAGGGCCGTAGGTTCC